ATTTATTGTTATGAGTGTGTGAGAGAGAAAGAAATAGAGAGAGAGGGGGGGGGCGGGGACTACTCTAGAGAGAGAGAGAGAGAGGGAGAGAGAGAGAGACTGAATGGCAAAATTGAAATATGGGTCAAATTGCGGCTGCAATCTATTTTGCAGTTGGAATGATTTTTTTTAATTTATTTAGCGTTTTTCCTTGAAAGATCAGAACAAAATCTACGAGTATTCCAATTTTCAGGTTTTTTCACGCATTCTTATGAGCATGAAAGCTCACTGAATTTTGAGTACTTTTTTAGTTGGTCCAGGCATGGCTGAGCGAAAAAAATAAAAAATGTGCCGAATCGGTGCGACGATTATTTCACAGTGTAAATGATTTTTTGTAAATGTTCTATTATTATTTCTGGAAAGAACACGCCCTCATCTATGGATTCTCAAAATTTCAGATTTTTGTGCATGTTTGTCCGAGCATAGAAAATCGCCAAAGTTGCCTCTTGCAAAATGCCTATTTCGTTGTGCCTGACCTCCCTGTTTTGAGAAGATGGGGCTCAATGCCTGGGCCTGAGGGCCTTTTTGCAGTTCACATGCCCGCACTTCTTTTTGGGGTCCGCTTCTACCCGGGGACCGGTCTAACGCCCCCCACTTCTTTTTGGGGTCCACTTCCACCCGAAGACTGGTCCTTCCTTTTTCCAAAAGTCCCGGCTCTAGAAGAGCTAGTTGTAGGTAGTCCACAATTTTGCCAAGGACCGGTCCCCAAAAAATATTTGTCCCCTAAGAACCCACTTTGCGTTCTGGTCGCCCGCCACAAAAAAATGTGACACCTTGACACAGACGCGGAAACACACTATACCGCAACCTTAGGGCTGCGAATAATGATTGACTTACCGTGAGGGCACGGGTGCGTAGCCCGTAGTTTGTTTGTTGATGTTGTTGTGAACGTGTGTGTGTGTGTGTGTGTGTGTGTGTGTGTGTGTGTGTGTGTGTGTGTGTGTGTGTGTGAGAGAGAGAGAGAAAAAAAAAAAATCAGGAGCGGCGCCACTTTGTCGAAACGCCTCGATAGATAAGGCACCACGCTCCCCGCGCACACAGGGAGACTATCACTTTGTGAACCCAGAGGGAACAGGAGCGGCCACCGCTGCTTTTCGACCACAACAGGCTTCGAATTCAAACCACCACTCTACCCGACGTTGGAAATTCGGGGGACCGGTAGCACAGGTCCATGAGGGCTACCAGTAGCACAGAGTGGAGAACCGGCAGAGTGGTGAATATGGAAAATGGGATGAATTTGCGCTATAAACTATTTCGCGGTTGAGAAAATTTTAAAAAAAAAATTAAACATTGTTCCTGGAAAGATCATGACCAAATCTATGGACCCTCAAATTTTCAGACTTGTTTACGAGTTCTTCTGAGCGTGAAAAATCTTTGAAATAGAGGTACTTTTCCCGCTGGCCCACAAGTTGTCGTGTGCCAAAAATGGAAAAAGTGACGAATTGGCGCGGCATTTATTTCATGGTCTAAACGATTTTATTTTATTTTGTTGATATTTTTCCTGGAAAGATCACGACCTGGCCTACCCCATATCAAATTTTCAGACCTTTTCTCCAATTATTCTGCGTACGAAAATTGCAAGATTGGACCTGCCTGCGCCTTCCAGTCGGCGCCCCCCCTAAAAACCCGCCCTAACTCAGCGGAATGCCAATTTTCAGGACCCGGCCTCCCCGACCTCCTGCGGGCAGCTACCGGCCCTCCAACAGCGAAAACTTTTCAGGATCGGGCCTCCCCAACCTCCTGCAGGCAGCTACCGGTCCTCCAACAGCGAAAACTGCCTATTTCCCATGAATTGGACCCCCAGCAAATACACCACCCTTCCAACTACCGCACTGTTTGGTGACGACGACAAAAAATGTCTAAGGGGCATAAAACCCACCCCTGACGGGCTGTGAACAATAAAAAAGGCCTGAAAGGCTGTCCTGTCCAGGTTGGACAGGGAATGAATTGGTTGCGTTAAAAAAAAAAACAAAAAAAAAAAACAAAGTACAGATGACACGCATAAATCGAGAGGAAAAACAAAACAAACATCCAGCGGCCTAACTCAGTTTGTAAGGCACGCAAGTGGCATTCAGGAGGTTGTGGGTTCAATCCCCACTGGCCTCACGTACCTTCCTGGGCATGCTTGGCACCCGCCACCTAGAGATAGACCACTGGATCCCCGGATCAGCATTGAGCAGAGTCTGCTGATGTTCGTAGGGGAGGGGACCACCACCTGAGGGATTGGTCCTGTTGGTAGAC